TGGAGCAGGACGCCTACTCTGATGAATCGATCAGTTTATTTACCAGTAATTAGTTTGTCTGAGTGAGTGAATACGGCTCACGTCCACACCAGATCGACAGAGCTTTTATTAAAATCGTGATCAAGGTGAACAACTGCAAGCAAGATGACTAGCTTCAGTCTCAGCTGACGCCGGACACAGTCAGATAGAAAACGAATGGGAGAACCAACTAAACTTAAATACCCAGCACTTCAATAAGGTTTTAGGTTAAGCCACCGATTTCGTCCTACTTTTACCAGTATGGATGGCTCGATTTCAGTTTTGTAATATCTCCAACTCCGTTGACCAGAAAAATAGATTGTGATACCACTAATTTCAATCAATTTGTGCTTTAAATTGTTGTCACTGTTAGAACTATGCGGTAATAAGTAGGTTGATCTTTAATGGCTATGTGCAATTCGAGGTTTGTCTTCGAGTTTTGTAAGTAAAATATATAAGTGATATCGGGAATGCTGAGTTTGTAACAGTGAATGGAACACCATTGACCTTGATCGCTGTGTTCGATTTTATGAACAGAATTCTGCCATGTTGTCGTACGAACTTCCGAGTAAACTTAGACAGGGAACACGAACTTCGAGTTATAGGATTTCAGCGTTCAGAAAGAATCCAAACGAGAGTATAATGGAGCAGACGACGAGATCATTGTTCGATCTTGAGTTGTAGTCGCTTGAAACCGTTTCTGACCTACATACGATTAAGTAACTGAAAGTGAAGCTTAAAAACACCATAAACGACAGAATCAGCTGGGTGCTAGGCAAAACCAAATTGGTATGCAAATGGGCATATTTCGCTAAAATTAAAGCGATTGATTTTTGGCCTCCTAGATTCTCGGTCACGTTGTGGTTCAAAGCGAATATTCTTTTCATACGCACTCTCCAACCTGGACTGTGTAATGAAGACGTTATGTTGCTCAGTTGAGCCGGGATTATTGGATTACGGTTCACTCGATTTTATCCATCCAATATAAAGGTAAATTGCCGAGCAAAAAGAAGGGATTGGCGCCTGCTAACGAACGTATGCGTACCAATTGTTCATCGCATTCTATCTGTCCAACATGGTGTCACTGTGGTACGCGTCGTTCTCTAATTCGAAGAAAAACACTGTTCAGCGATTACTGCCCCAAGGCCACGCATCTCATGTACACGTGATTGTGGCAGTGTACCAGATAATGGACATGTGAGTCATGACACGTCGGCTAGTCTGCTGTCGTCGCCTGCAATCTTCGGCCTCGGTAGGCATATTCACATCGGTCGGTTATTTCTGTTCCGTGCTTTATACAGATTTGCTCGATGGTCTGGCAGCTTTTTACTCACTCAGTATGTTAGCCTTCGTAAATCTGTGTGGACCGGGATGTGCCGAAAACTTTTGGCGAATAAAGTGCTCTTTTCGTTAGTCAATCGGAAGGCAGTTTTTTCCAGTCATGTTAAAACGGGCTCAGGCGACCACAACTGTCCTTGTTAGGAGCTATACCAGCAGTATCACTGAGGTCATCAACTGCACTCGTTGAGAAGTGTATTTTCTGATAAACAAGATAAAAGCCCATCGAAACAGGAACTCAGGACTTCTAAGGTTAACTGTGTTCACCAAGTGATTTGCAATCAAAGCTATATTTTTAGACATTTCCAGATTTGCTGAGACAGTGTTGTTTTAGGACCCATAATTGTCCTTGGTCCGACCGTATCGGCGTCCGTTGGTAGAAGTTAAACGCTGAATTATTGCGATCAGGCGGTGCAGGTTTGCTCAGACATGTAGCTCGCTGCATAGGTGGGAATTTCCCTCGTTCGAATGTCGTGGTAGTAACCAACACCTTACCCAAGACAGCAATGGCACCCACACCAGACATTCCATCACACAGACCCCCTAATCGAAGAGCCAAGCCACACCGCCACCAAAATCAGTGTCACAGGGTCAGGTGCGGTGAGTAATGTTGCGGAATTTGACAATGGAGGAAGTTGGGTAATGAAATGGTTAAAGCCTCAGAATCCAGATGTTAGCAACTGGGTGGCAGAGACAACTATCTGGTAGAGACACAAGATTCGTCATGTGACTTGTGGTACTTCCAGTAAAATTGGGAAAAGTGAAGACTGCCTTACTGAAGTCTCGTTACGCGTGTGACGCACCGTGTTGAGTCTCACCGGATGTTAAAAGGCACAAACTCATTAAACTACGAAATACACCGCTGCGTTTCGGTTTCTGGCCCGTTGACACAATGTTCAGAACAACACATGATCATGACTACTGGTACGGCCTCGTATACCACTGCCTCTCGTGTCCGTTTGGGTCGGGAAGAAACCCATGTCAGTGGCACGATTTTTGGAACTGAATTCTTGGAATATTTTAGTTGATGATTTCCTCTCACAACCAATGACATCAATCTCCGGTGAGCGAACGAATTGATTCTCGTGAAAAGATAAGTCATATCCCATGGGCTTGTAGCACATCTGGAATGTAGTCACAATTCCATGCAGAAGATAGTGAAAGTCTTAGAGTATAGAAGGGTGTTTAAAAGTGAGCAATTTAGTTGTACTAGGACAAAATATCTGACGAAACTGCAGTGATGAAAGTGAATGTGAAAAACTGAGGACAACATTGTACATCCGAATTTTTTCGCAGATTTAAGAGCTACATTCAATGTTGATATAACTATAGCACTTACGATGGAGGTTAGATCGAGTAATACTTTGGAATTGCGAAAAAACGCGTGGGATTTCGACGAGTTGTGTCATTTTGCGAAAAGCCTATGAAATTACGTTCCCCTCTCTCTGCACATCTTTCCCACATTTGATGGAAACAGTAGTCGAACTTTGAGATAAATATATGATCTCCTCACCCTCGTTCCTGAAGCTTCCGGTCGTTGTACAGAATTATCAAGGGATATGCATGGTGAAGAACCTTTTTGATGTAATAACCTTGGCACACAACAAGAATATGAAATCAGTATCCTTTTGACCACTGATACTGTAAAATCCCGTTGATCTGGTATGTCCAAGAAACTCGTTAAATGAGGTTTTTCTGAATGATCAGGATAAGTTTGCTAACACGTCTGCTGGCCATGAGACACAAAATTTGTCTTTTCAATACTGTAAATATTTGAGGAACACATCTGAACCGGAATCAAATCACAGACAAGGTTCTATATGGAAAACAATAGCCAGGCATCAAATTTACAACCTGGTACTTAGGCCCAAGGTTGTTTCAATATGCCTGAATGTTGAGAAGCAATACGAGAATAGTAGTTTTTACGGTGGCTAATTGTG